CTAAATCTAATCTTTTCTAAAACAGAAACTAAATATAATCCTTTCTACAGCTTTTTTGCAGCTTGTTATATACATTATGAGTGCTGAAAATTTAGGGGGAAAATCGTCAAGAAGTTTCTTCTCCAGAATTTTACCTGGTACTTCATCAGCTGAGAGAATGGGCTTCAATAGGCTCTCGGAGCTTATAGTCTACAAGGAATATGGAACAATTAAAAATGAACAAAACTAAACCGTAAAAAGATAAATAAGCCACTGGAAGTTGCTCCTAGTAGGAAACAAGTTTTTGAGCAACTAGGGATCAAATAATACAAAAACCCAAGGTCTGAAGGCTCGGATTCAGTCCCTCTTATACAGCTCAAGAAGCGGGTTTCAGATGTTCACTCTTAGTTTCCATTTGTGTATTTATTTATTTTTGGATTGTATAACAAAATTAATAGACCATTAGTTACAGTTTAGATACAAAGTCTTTAGCCAATGGTGATTGATCTTTTTTTCTTAAAATGTACAGGATAACTATTTGGGTCATATGTAAAAGTATATTTAACAACTCAAAAACAGTTAGCTACTGTTTTCATTTTTGGAACCATTCATTTTTTTTAATATATTGGGTGAAATTGTATATAACTTTGAAATATATAAACAAGGTTCATTGTCTAAACCAAATATTTACACAAGTTCCATAGTGGACCTGTTAAATCATCATTACTTGGTTTTTTTAGAATTTCAGTTGATCATTTAATTTTAGTTTTGATGGTACGTAACATAGATGTTAGGAAACAGCCCAAGGTTTATTGATTTATACTTTCACTGTTTTCAGGTCAGCAAAAGAAAACTAAGCATACCATATGTTAATTTTCGGTAACTTGATTTAAGCCTATTATGCAAACGCTTGAGGAAAAAGAAACACCAGTCTCATCTCTGTTTAATTTATGCAGCTATTTCTAAAGTAAGTGATTAAAATCAAAATATTCATGGTTTATCTCCAACAAGTTATACTAAAACGTAGAGTCCACTTAGTTGGCCAACATTGTAGCTGATCTTAGGCCTCTCTTCATGTATGGGTGATTTCCTATGATCCTATCTACAAGAAAAAGAAAAAAAGAACATCCTGAAAGCAAACAGCATCATTGACCCCTAGCTCCATATTTCGTAGAGAGAATCATATGATAAATAAGTTTATCATATGTGATGGACTTATGGTAAGAGAAGAATCTCTGGATAAAATGAAAAACATGTTGACAAACTTAAATGGCACCCAGAGAAAATAACGAACATGGTGGCAAACTGAAATAGCACTAAGTTCTAGTCCTTGGTTTCTGAAACCATAACAATGATGTGGGTGTCAAGTCTAACAAATTCCAAATTACAGCCACAAACAAATTTATATAGCAGACGTAGTCAAACATTCCTGCAGATAGTAGTGCAAGTCAAACTCCTATCAAGCTTTATACTCTATGGAGGAAACCTATTATATATCTGCATACACATGAAGTATAAGATAGCATCAAATTATAACCTCATAAAAAGAACATAAAATATGATACACAGATTTACTTATGTATTTGCATACACGTGGGAAAGCTTCATTCCAAACCAGTCTTGCTTAATTTATGGAACTTAAACAGCATATCGACTTGCCAAAACATTTACCGTTATTGAGTGGCCCTGATTCGCACGAATAAAAAGCTCTCCATTTTCTTCCAAAAGGCTAAACCGTTGCTTATTATCCTTCCTAACTGCCTGCTTAATTTACAACACAGACAATTAGTTGAAATTAGCATAAAGTAAAGGGCATTCCGAGTAGAAATTAACTCGATGGAAAGGCTTAGTAAACAAGAGTCATGCCATGGCTTCAAGAAAATCACCAGAAATAGTTCAAAAGTATAGTTTAGGTTTCCAACTGGTTGTCAATCGTCTATATCTATCAAGACGGAGGAAGGAAAAGGAGGAGAAAATCCCAATTGCTAACTGACTGAAAAATCCGTCAAATGTGTGTTCTTATTTATTTATTCTTTAAATGAGGATCCATTCAGTTGATGTAGCCACCCAAATGTCATTCACATTTACTATATCCATAGATTTTTCTTATCATAAATTAAGTATTTATGATCA